TGCGCGTTACCATCTGCTCGATCATACGCGTCGAAATTATCAGCAGCGCTCCCGTGTTGAAGCAAGGAGAGACTACTAGTTAACTAGTTAGGTATCTCTGCTGTAGCGGCGCCAAGCAGGCATCGCGTAACTCTTTATGGTCTTATAATATATATATAATTAGTCTATAGAATTCAATTCCACATCGCTTCGTGCCATGATCACCTTCGTCGGTGTCTTTTCATCCTCACCACTAAGTACTATCGCCGTCGTAGCCCTCGTTGTCGTCGCCGCCGTCGTCGTTCCAATGCATATCACGTGAGTTACACGTGACTTTCTAAGCGAACCCACTTTTTTCTCTTTCCACACAGGGCCGAGTCTTGGCGCACACCAAAGCGAAAAGCGACTTTGGAAATTTCACGACATCGAAATCTGAAGATATTGAAGAACCGCCCCGTGTGTGCGCGACGACGACAACGACAACCTCACGCCCTCGCCCTTAAAGACACCGAGTCCCTCTCCCTTCGTCAACGACATAGTTTGTCCCGCCGGTTCCAAAGTCGCAATCATGGGTGGCATTACCGTTCGCGATGTCGATGTAGGTTCGCCAATACAAAAGTCCATAGGTGGCCCTGGTCGTCTGCTGCGTGGGATGGATGGTCTTTCTCGGGTGGATGGTTTACTTCAGCCCCTACGGTGATGATTCATGAGCATGCGAGGAGCGTCCGGTCGCCGAAATGTAATAATCAAGCTGGTATGAGAGCAGCGGATGTGGATGGATCTACATATTTTGGCCGGTTCACCTTGTGGCATGGAGATAAACTGTGGGATCGAGCGCTTTACGACAATAAAGGAAGACCGGTGTTCTAGGAGAATCCAGCAGACTTATCCAGCCCGTGGAGGACCATACTTGCACAGCAGACAATGGAGGGAGCTGGTTTCTTGCACACTGCCTGAAATATAACTAACAATGTCCCTTTCCCTGCTATACAGGCTCAAAAGTTCGTCGAGGCATACTCTGCTTTCTTGAAGAGACAGGGAAAGCTCCCAATCCCAGGTTCGACATCTCAAATGACTGCTATCTTGTTGAAAGCATGTTAACAGTATTTACTAGGCTGGGTTGATACCGTCAAGACCTCGAACTCCAAGGAACTCCCTCCCCAATCCATTGACTGGTACGATTTACTCTCATAACACCCCGATGCCACCGTCAACCACGCCAAATCTACTTTATATCTTGCGCAGAAACCTATGTATTTCCAGTACTTACTCCATCTTATATAATAGGTACTACGTCCGTGCTGCCGCTGTTGCCCGACATATCTACATGCGCAAGACCGTCGGTGTTGGCAGCCTACGCAAGGTCCACGGTGGCCGCAAGAACCGCGGCTCCGCTCCATCCCACCACGTCGATGCCTCCGGATCCGTTGACCGAAAAATCATGCAGTCTCTTGAGAAGATCGGTGTCCTCGAGCAAGATGAGGAGAAGGGCGGCCGCAGAATCACCCAAAGCGGCCAGAGAGATTTGGACCGCATTGCCAGGACGACCATAAAAGAGGACGAGGATGACGAGTAAAGTGTTCTCCTGTGGGGGATAGTTTGTGTGCTGTGAGACGATTGAAGTAGAGGGAGAAGAGGGCCGGAAGACAGAATAGGAAAATGACAGAAGGCCAAAATTCTTAATGTTTCCCTCAAACAAAAGACGATATCACGGTTTGGTAAAATAAATTTTCTACTTTTCTCTTCTTTTATTCATGTCATGCAGCTAGCGAGTTCCTGAGTGGAAGGGAGAGGTTTGGATGCCATGGATAGAAGGCCTGTGAAATCTTTTCCCCCCTTGATTCGACACTCAAGCTCGACATTTGCAGCAGCCCCATCGATGACATGTTGATATGATGGCCAAAACGTCACCTACTTCCGACTTTCTATATCTACCTTCAAATCGATTCTCTAGCCTTAGTATTCATTTGTGCTCTCTATCTATGACCATCCATCACGGCCTTGAACATGTCTACCTTGAATTTAATAAAGAATAAAAAATCTTCTAAAAACATATGCATTGCCTTTGGTATTAATCACACAGGTTCTTTGCCCTTATTCTTGTTTTCAGGAATCAACACCCTTAACTGCAGGACAATAGTAACAGACTAAACATGATATAAGGAAGCACAAAGGCCAGACTCAAAAGTACACTAACAACAGGGACCTCCTAATCCTTTAGCACAAGACCGCCAGCTTCCCCTTGCCCTAAGGCAGACCAACCGCCAATATCAACCCTTACATGTATGGCTTGTTAGGCCGAAATCAGAAAATAAATTGAAAGAAAAGAGAAAGAAAAGAAAGAAGAAAATAAAAACAGGGGGTGACGGAATAGAGCAGAAACATAAGATCAGATAGACAACAAGGGTAGGCACGTAAAGTACTTCTGACAAGATGGCGTGAGAGGAGTGAGTAAAGAAGAAAAAAGTAAGATATCATGGGAATATCTTTAGCACATAGAGATGGCGAGAACAGTCATCGCATGGTTGTAGCAGTAGTCAGCGCTCCTTTATTCTGGCACATCTTGGATGTTCGCGCCAACTCCCCCGAACCATTCATGGACTTGAGTTCTTGGGCCATTTGGATTGACATTAAGTACTGGTACTCTTCCGGCTAAAGATGGAACTGGCCGAAGGTCAGCTCCGAAGAACATTGGCTGGCGTTCCCTGGGCTCCACTGGACTATAGCGGTTCAACCACGGCTGAGGGTTACTGGAGGAAGAGGGCCCTGGAGCAGATTCTTCCAGGATACCATTCTCAACCTCACTCTCCATTTCTGGGGTATCGCTTTCGGGGTATTTGTTCTCCTTATTTTCCTCTTCAGGCCCGGGACTGGTGCTGGGGGTGTCAAGGTCGTCAATGATAATAGGAGACGTTGGCTGTTCTGGTAAATCCTCTGGTGTATCCTCTGGTTCATCTTCCCAGATTCTGGTTCTGCTGGCTGCATTCTGCTGGGAGCCGGTGATATTACGGCCGGGGAAGAGTCTGTTGAAAGCTTCATGACTGATAACATTGGCAAGAATCGGATCAGTGTACCAGGTATTCATGTCCTCCGTAGCAATGGGGTGTGGGTATGGGGTATCATCGTTGTACTCCATATCATCATTGCTGTTGTCATCAGCGTGGGTATCATCAGTAGAAACGGAAGATGTTGCTGCCTCATCACCATCCTCGTTTCTAGCTTCCTCAATTTGAGCTTCAAATTCATTATCAGACCCATTGCCTTCGCTATCTTCATTGCTCTCATCGCTGGTCTCTTCAACTGATTCTGCATAATAAAGATCATCAAGGTCATAGTAGTGCACGCTTTCGGACGAACTACTACCTTCTCCTGGAAGTTGAAAGGCGTTGTTTTGGAAGAGACTATTCCCTTCGGTCTCGTTCTCAATCATTGCAATGGATTCCTCATCTGGAACCCAAACTCGGGTCTGCATATGGCTCTCAATGGTATCAAAAACGATCTCTGTAGTAAGAGTAAGTTAAGCACAATATACTAACATTTCTAGGGCTCTGACCCCTGGTTTGTTCATTGGGGATATCGAACAACTTACCACCAAAGGTCCTAGGGTCAACACTGTCTAGACTGGGGACTTCTCCGTCATTATTTGGCTCAAAGACGGGAGCTCCATCGGATTCATCATCATCAAAGTTGCAGTCAGTAGACGCTCCACTGTCATCAGAATCACCCTCGTAGCCATCATCTCCAGCATCACCACCATTTCCATAGCCGTTACCGTTGCCATTGCTATTTCCGTTGCCGTTACCATTGCCTGGACCAAAGTCGCGGTCTGGTCTCCTTCCATTCTTTTTACCTTCGGTATCTTGTTGTTTATCTTCATCATCGCGCTCAGATTCATCCTCTTCATCTTCTTCCTCATCTTCTTCCATCTCATCCGCACCAAACTCTCCTTCAGTGTCATACCCCCCTGAAAACTCACTCATGTCTCTATCTTGGCCTTCAGGAGCAAGTGCGAGGGTATCTGATGGCAAAGTGGTATCTCCAGCAGCCATGCCCAAATGAGACACCTGGCCAGGCTGTTCCTTGATTGTTCCATCAGCATTACGCTTTTCACCCCTTGGAGTAGGCAGCTGGTTTGGTTTGCTGTATTCTAAGTCAGTAAAACCTCTACTATCAGTTAAGAAAGCGGGGAGCACATACATTGGGCCCTTTGGAGGTAACTGAGTATCAGAAGGCATATTTTTAGGCTGCCTCCTACACACTCCTTTACGCCTTGTCTTCTGGGTATCTGATATCAAAGATATGACTAGAAAGGCCTTTGATATATCAAAGTCACGTTTCTAATCGCGAAATAGCAAGGTAAAAGCAAAAAAAGCCCTATTTAGAAGGCTTTTACCTAAAGGGGAGTGTCTATCAGTATCAGACGCGAACGCGACCTTAACTGTTTACTCCTGCTAGAAGGACAATAGGTAAACAAGAAGCAGGGGAAGCAGACCAAGGGTAGTAACTATGAATGAATCTTGTACTCTAGAGGAGCCGAAATAGCTAGAGCTGAAGTTCACCAATATAATCTTGTTATGGAGTGTTTGTTTTCAAAAAGAAAGGAGGAGAGATGGGGCTTTTATATATTTGTGCGAGGATAGGACAGCTTTGATACCAATAGGGGTTAGCGTACTTTCTTGGTCAACAGACCCCTTTAGCGCGTTGTTCCCTGTGAGGAGCATAACATTGCTGGATGACTCCTTTTTCTACCTAGGATACTGGCAGCCTTGTCCTCTTGGAAGTATTGCTCCTTATAGTATCTCCTATAACATATCAAAAGTGGAATGCCCTTTGAATAGTGAAGGGGGAGCAATGAATAAGCCATATAACTATTATTTTGATGTAGAGTGGTAAGCCTCTGCAGTTCCATGGATATGGGTATTTAGAAAGGTCCCGATATGTACATCATTTAAGCAGCAGGTATTGGGCTGGACCGATCAAGCTTCTCAGCCTAGAGTGATCAATCCCCTGATGAAAAGTCTTTATGGGATATTGTCACCATCCTTGTGGGTGGTTGGGTCCCAGCAGACATGATGGTATTCATCGGTATGGAGAGCTCTCATGTCATCTTGAGATAGCTCAAAGTCGAAGATATCGGAGTTTTCCAGAATGCGCTTCTCCGTTGCTGACTTCGGCAGAGGAACAAAACCCTATATCAATCCAATTTTCAGTTACTATGAGCCCACGAGAATGGTAAGTAATGGATCCTTACTTTTTGTAAACTCCATCTAACTAGAACCTGAGCAGGACTTTTGTTATGTTTCTTTGCAATTTCCTGGAGTTTTGGATCATCCATCTTCTTTGCCTGTACGAGTGGACTGTACGCTTCGATGACAATGTTGCGCTTCTGAAGCCATTCAACAATATCAGAACGAGTGAGCCACGGATGCAACTCATACTGGCCCACATCAATTTTACCCCCAATGGCTTTGTTGTACTCCTCCAGCTCATCCAGATGGTGGACTCCATAATTGGAAACTCCAATAGAGCGGACTTTCCCTTCCTTTTGAGCCTCTACCAAAGCCTTCCAAGAACCTTCACGCTTCTCTTTACCACCATAGGGTGCGTGAAGAAGAGCCCTAGATTCCGCGTAAGTCATATTTCTATACGACGAAGGATGTTATTGAGAATATTACTGCTTACAGATCAAAGTAGTCCACCTTAGCCTCCTTTAGGCTGGATTCAATCGCTTCTCTAGTAGGTTCATAACCGAGCGATCTCCATGGGACTTTAGTCGTAAAGAATACCTCTGAGCGCTTAAGTCCCGATTTTCGGATAGCTTCGCCGCATTCAGCTTCGTTGTGATAGGCTTTTGCTGAATCAATCTATCGCGAAAAAATAAGGGTCAACATCGCAGCAACGCATCGGCCCACAAGGAGATGTAGTTCGTAACATACGTGCCTGTAGCCCGTCTCTAGAGCCTTTAGAACACATTTTTCGGTGATGTCTGGGGGTCTTTTTATTGTCAGTATTGCGACTAATGAGAATTGAACCGAATAACCTTACGTTTGGTACACCTATTCAATGTTGTTAGTAACCACACAGTGCGAGACGGAAGTTGGCCACTTACACCAAATCCGACGACTGGGATCTCATATCCCGAGTTCATCTTCTTGGTGGACTGAATATTTGATCTTGCTGCCATGGTCGCTACTTTCTTGCGTTTCGACTTGATATTCCCGCAAACGATGGAGTGGATGAAATAGACATCACCATGGACAGACGGACAAGGTTAGTGGCCATTTATATATGGTGGCAGCCGGCAAAGACTATCCGAGGTACTTAACGCCCCTTTGGTGCTTGGTATTCCTTGATTCAACCAGCCAATACCTAGCGAAAGCGCTGGCGAGTCTGCTACGTTAGTAACACTAAAGGGCGGCTTGACATGCGGGGATAAGATGGCGTTAAGGGTATTCCCCAATCAGAGGTGGGGGAAGCTGGTACCTACATATCTGATTCCCTTCTCCTGTACAACTAAATAACCAGTCACTTGATGGTTGTAACCTGGTATGTTGGTTATGTTTACCTACTTGTCTGGTGGGAACCATAAATCTAAGCTATGACGTCAACAGGCTCCTTTTTGCTGCTGTGTTGTGGGCTCCAAGGTAAGTAATTAACCGCCTGCGAGATAAGTTACCACATGCTTCAGCGATCGGTCAGCCTATGCTAAAACTTCACCTAATCGCTTTTTGTGGCGTTAGGTGTTGGACGATGTACTCCCCGTGCTCTACCGAGTACAAAGAGCTGGAAGTATTGCTGAAAGCCTTTCGCAACCACGTACATATGCGTAAGGCCAAGGACGGGCCAGCCGCCAGGCACTTGGTAGCCGGTAGGTAGTCATGTGTAAGATGCGAGGCTAGAGGAAGGCAGCAACCTCCCGTCTAATACCAGGAAATACAGCTTAATAACCCCGATTATCCTTGTCGATCATTCTCATTAAAGCCAATTCAGCAGGCCACACCTGTAGAAACTCTTGTGCTCGCCAGAACCAGTCATCTTCACCGTATTCAAATCCCATTGGGGATGCGGCACGAAAGAACTCCCAGTAACCTGGGTACCAACCTGCATTTGCCCAGTCCACAAGTACAATATCGAAGGATCGACCACTTTGGTCATCTATGTGGTTTGGATTTTCCGCAACCAAAATATTTTTCCGTTGAACATCTCCATGCGTTAATGTAGGTCGGTGTCCTTGGAGCACACGCGGGAGGTAAGTTTCATAGAAACGGACTTTGAAGTCTGGTCGATCGCTACATCTGACCACCGCTCTATGGTTTCCAATAAAGCCGGCAATAAAAGCAGCTTCACTGTAGAAAGGTCCCAGGTATCGGTTGGCGGTATCTGGGCTGTAGAATAGGTGGTCTTGCACGCCACCACCACCCAAGTCTCCAAAGAAATCAGGCCAAGGATACTTGACTTATCGCATACTATCAAATATTTGACGGAGTTTAGTTGAGATATCATTTTTCTCAGACTCGGTTAATGATGGCCAGATTTTATCAAGCGGTATTCCGGGTACTCGCTGCATTATTAAGGAAAGCTCGTTAGACTCCTTGAACATTGCGTACAATCGAGGAGCTGGAATCTCCGGAGCATATCGTTCGAGGTAAATCAATGCCTGGCCCTCGCTAGCGTCTACCATCCTACCAAATTTGACAACAACCGCATCATTCACTGCTACAACTTTAGAGGAGTAGCATTCCCATAAGATGTTGGGGCAAGTCCGGATCTCATCTGCAGTGGGCAGAGGCAGAGGCAGAGACAAAGCATCGCTTTGGAAAGGGATAGAAACAGGTTCCCACATCGTGATGGCTACGAAGAAGCCGACCGATTAGTCGGAGCTGCGAGGGAGGTCGTTGGAAGGGTTTGTCCTTTCGCTAACTCGCTGGACTCAAACTACGTAGTGAACTCTGGATGATGACTAAGCAAACCTTGTTTCTCTCCAACGTCAGATATAAAAAGGGTTTGACGTTCAATACTCGAACAAAGTGGTATGTCGATGAAAAGCAATAGTAAGAAGAGATATTCATCCCGAAACCAGATCCATTTATTTACTGCCTGAATATCTCTTGATACGCTCTGTTCTCCTTTTGGTTATTCATTTTATTAGGATCTGTAGGCGGGTTATTCACTTATATACATGTCAGAGCCCCGCTGATCGCACAGTCGCGGAACAGATCCGTCGAACTGCCATAACGCAGTCGAATATAGCTATTTAATACCCTAGGAAGAAATACCGTTACCCAGCTCTGGAACGAGCTGTTCTTATCCTCCACATAGTGGCGTGCTGCTTCTCTCGGTGCATCGTATAAAACGTTGTTTGGCACCGAAGCCAAAGCACTCTCAACGCTCCATCAGCCCGCATTTATTTATCTATTCTATTGAAGACTAGCGCTTCCTTGAGGGTAAAAATGCGCCTCATTAAGCAAAACATTGAACGTAATGGCTCAGGCTCGGTCACGCTTTATCCCGAAGAGCCAGAAGATATGGTACGGGGATAATAATTTTCCCTCAGTTTTTTCTGCATTCTTTTATCTTCTCCTTTTTTTACCAACTCTTGTGATTTATTGAGAGAGGCAATGCATAGTCATGGATAGTGAAAACCACATGCTAATTCTACCTTACCTATGTCCTTCCCCACCGTCCAGTGGCATGCATACAACCTAATACGGCCCAATGACCTCCTAAAGGCTAGTGCAATACGCCGTGTCACCACTACCTCAGCCACAGGCACAACCGCCTCATCCCGGGTGCATATGAATTTACAAATACGCGTGAAGAGCCTTGATTTTGACATCCAGAGTTCCCAGCTCCACGTATCTGGCCAGATCGTCGTGGAAACGCCATATACGAAAATTGGTCAGCATCATACCCTGGATTTGGAGCTGCAGAGAAATTTCACCCTGGAGAAAGAGGTAGAAGGCTCATCTCTTCCAGGTGATGGACCTGGAACATCTGCTGGTGGATGGGATAGTATGGCAATTGAGATGTTGAAAGATGCTGTTGATGAAGGGGGAAAGAGAAGAGCAGAAGCTGTAGCCGTGGTTATGCAGGAAGGCCTTGCCAACATTTGTTTCATTGGACAGTTCCAAACCGTGCTCAAGCAGAAAGTTGAGCTTACCATCCCAAGGAAGAGGCAAGGGGGTAGTGATTATGACAAAGTAAGGATAAGATATGATGCTCAATTCTTTCGTACATTATTAACACTGCAACATAGGCTTTATCAAAATTCTATCAGCTCACCTTGGATAATCTTCTGCGGCTTATTGAATTCAACAGCGCCACAGGCTCTTCCCTTGTTACCCCAGCCTCAGGGAGTGACACGTCTGCAAAACCAATTCTTCTCGCATCTCCAGGGTTTACTGCAGCCGGGTTCCAAAAACATGTGCAATCAGTTTCCAACACGACCACGCCATCTTTGAAGCCTCTTTTACAAAGCCTGATTGTTGTGCATTCGTCATCAGGACACATTCATTCCCTTAATGAAGTCCTGCAGTCCCCTGCCGTTCAAACAAGGTTATTTAATACCAAATACGCTCGTGAGACAGCGCTGATGGATACATTTTACACTCACCTGCGGAAAGACACGAACAAGGCTACCTACGGCCCTAGCGAGGTGGAATCGGCAGTTGATCAGGGAGCAGTAGGAAGAGGAGGAGGTGTTTTGTTGATTTCCAATAGATTGTTCAGAGCCCCAAATGTGCGTGAGAGGCAGCGGTGGGTGTCCCTAGTAGACCGAGTACGGGACGTAGAGGGCGGAGAAGTCCGCGTTTTGAGCTCTGACCATGAAAGCGGAAGGAGGTTAGATGGGCTTGGTGGTGTTGCGGCGATTCTTACATTTCCTATTGAAGACCATGATGAAGAGCATGAAGAAGATGATTGAGATAACAGGAAACACATATCAGGTAACGTAACTACACGGAATACATCCCAACGATATCCTCCCAAGCCGGGTATTGGAAAATAGTAAACACAATAAGCCTCCGAGCTTCCCTGGCCATATTTCATTCCCGGCCCCAGATGTTGGGGGTTTTTCGTTCGCTGCGTGATATGTTCTATGACAATGCAGGGTAGTCCCTGTAATTTCCCTCAAGCAAGAGCTGCAGCATTGAGATGCAATTAATCCGTGCCCCTTGACCACTTAAATCTTTATAAGCAACCGACACTCCCCTGACATTAGAGGCGAGGCACGAGGAATATTTCCCTAAATGTTTAGTCGTACATTGTCAGGAAGGATAATGGAGCATTTCGTTACGGCAAAGGTAACAGCCGTGTTTATAAGGGATGGCCAAACCATCCAAAAAGGCATTCATCGCTAGGTAATCATCATCATCCTAGGCAGGGACATGACGTTGGGTGCTTGCAGGGATAAGAGGCAGATTATAAAGGAATTAAAGGGGAAGAAGATTTTCCTAGGAGAATAGGGGCTTGGAGGATAAATCAGGATTGTATTAGAGCTGCTCGAGGAATCAGAACGTAAAAGCGGACACTTGTGAACATATTCATTGGTAGGTTTCGAGTGGTAGAACCCTGACATCAGAGTTTATCTTCCAACACTCCACCGATATTTTCTCAACGTACCTGTATACACATAGGAAAAATGTAAATGCATGCCCGAGGAATATAAATGATACATAGACATAGAACAATCTTTCCCAAAACGTAAACCAAGAGACCAGAGACCAGATAAACATAGAAATAACAAAGGGGACAGTGAAAATAAGTATTAACCGATATACCCAAGTCATTAGCCCGTAATATCAAGAGTATACTCCGTATTTATGTAGATAGGTGTTTGCCGCCCGCCAATGATAGTGAATAAGGAGAAAAAAAACAAAAAAAAATTCTGAGTTCAAAGATATGCCGGGGTATCAAGAATGATGGAAGGCCTGTATAAAGCCATATAAAAGATGGGGGGATTGAAGAATAGGTATGGATATGCAGGTTGTGTGCGTTGAAAATTGTAAGGCTCTTTCAAGAACGCCGTCTGAAAGGATAGCCCGTTGATGAGAATGATATTAGTTACTGGGTTCGAGAGCGCTTCGAGTAAATTTCTTCGTCATCGTCTTCGGCCTCAGCTTCTTGTTCTTCGCCTGATTCGTGCTCTTCCACATCTCTGGGACTGGTTTCTAGAGCCCGACTATGCGTTTGAAGTAATTCCCATTTTTGCTCACATTGAGAAGGAGTCCACCTCTTTGTAGCGCCAAAATCTTGTACCTATAAAGATAGCCAGTTAGACAACTTAGCTTCTCTGCGATAATCCATTCTATCACAGACCTTCTGTGAGATGATCTCGAATTTTTCAGTCTCCCAGTACGAATGAGCATTCTGAAGGGCTCGAATCTGAGAGAATATTAGTCCACCTGCTGTTTGTGATGAGGGAGGGGGGACAAGAGGAGTTGGAATGGGTACTAGATATTAATGTCAATGGGAAATAGGTGCACGTACTCACATCATCCTCAGACCACCCTTTCATCGCACGTTGCCATCGACGTGTTATTCGCATTTGAAGACGGGAGGCGGTATAGTTAGAATTGTAACGATAGTTTACTTGGGAAACGACCTCCTTCCACGGAAGCCCATCGTTCCTAAGATTTATGGCATAATCTGTTTCTTCTTCCAACTGAGTTGACCTTCTGCGAGTGCGTCGGCGTCGCTTAGGGTTGCGCTGAGGCTGTTCTTCCTGACAGATTTGTCTCTCCTGTTCTAACTGCCGGAGTCCCACTGGATTAGGGGCAATGGTGACTGGAGTAGGTCTCATAAGGATAGGTGTATGCGCTGGGGTGTGTGATGGCGCTCTAGACGCTCTCATATGTCCTCTTTCCCTTTCATAGTCGGTCGACTCATGCTCTGTTACGTTGCCCATCATAGGTCTATGAAATGGATCATATGAAGGTATGCCAGGCTGCACGTAGTTCAGCGCAGATGTTCCAGTGATTCCCAGTCCATGTTGCATTCCACCAGCTCCCATGGGAGGGTATCGTGGATCTTGATGCGGCTGAGGGCATGGACTATGTCGGGGATCAAGAAGGACACTGTCTGAGAGGCTGATTGGGGTGAGCATGGGTTGGTTTGCGTGTGAGTTTGACACATATGGATGGGAACTTGGTGTGTATGTCTAGTAGCAGCGAGTTAGTATTGAAAGAGCGGCACTAGAATGAGTGAGCGATAGCAGTCGCCCGCGCCCGTACCGTGCCTGGAGTAACCCATTCCTGGTTTTCAAGTATATTAGACATTTGGCCTTGAAAAGGTGATTCTTCCCAGGAGCTAGTAATATGGTCGGCTGGCATGAGGGGCACTATCAGTGGGCACTGAGGGAGTCGTATAAGGCAGAGTCTGACCGGTGATCTCTGCACTAGAGGAGGTATTGGAATATAGAAGGGATAGGTTTCCGATTAAGATGTGTAAATGAGATGTAAGGGACAGGAGAGTAAGTAATGAGGCACCTTGTGATAGGCAGTTGAGCTTGAAGTTGAAAGAGTATTGTCCGAGTCTGACGCGGGAGTCTGGGTAGCTATATAAATGTTGCCGTCTTCTGAAGAACTGTGGACAACAGAGGCATATAGCTTGTTCAGTCAACGAGTAACGGGGAGCCAACTCTAGCGGGCCAGAAACGTAGGCAAATCAGGAGCACAGACGATGCAACGAACGCTCCCGCATCCAAGATTTTCAAAATAATAATCTGAGGTCATCGTCCTTTTCTTCTTCTTCTTTTTTTTTTTTTTTCAAATATCTCTTTCTCATATACTTACTGCTTCTCCAGAGCGGGAACAAGAGAATAGAAAATTAAAGGTCCACATGCTGATATGACTGTGCCACTTCAGCCAGAGAAGGGCGACATGGTAGATCCGTTATGAAAAAATAAAAAATGAAAAAAAGAAGGTAGGGAAGGAAGAAGAATGAAAATTAAAAAGGCTGCATCTAAGCGCCGGCTTTTGGCCATCTTCAAGGGGGTGGGTTTGATCCATAGAGGGAGGTAGAATCAAGATGGCCCCCATTCGGCCTCAAGAGTCTGGGATGCGATTTTAGGCAACTGGCAGGGGGAGGTAAGTACCTCTGAGCTGCGCCTAAAACCCAGGCAGAGGCCATGAGCGGCCTGATTATTACCGTCCGTAACGGTTTGAGGCAGGCCGTGGTTGTTGATGTCGATGTGGAGAGCAACGCCTCATCCCCTTCCTCCTCCTCTCCCCAGAAATGATATTCCAGCCAAAAGACACTAACGCGGGAATAAAGACAACC